ACTATTGTCCCCCCNCCCCCCCCCCCCCCCCGCCCCCTCTCCCCCTCTCCGTGAATACTCCCTCAGACACCGTGGACTTGGACCAAAATAAATCTCGGTTCCAAAAAGTAAACTGGACGGTTTGGCAGAAAACTCTGAGACATCACAATCCATGGAGTACGAGTGTTCATTCGGCCTCAAAAGGCACAAGCAATATGAGTCCCTGTTTCGCCATATCGCCTCCTACAGATCGCAGCGGCCATACCAATTCAATTCATGAATCGGAGATTTTTTGTAGCGCGCTGATGCTTTCAAACAACATCTGCGGACCTGTGATGGCGGCGCTTCGAAAGCACGCACTCGAAGACGGGGTCTTCATTAAGAGTATCCCATCCTAGCTCCGCGATGGATACACCGAAAGACCGAGTTTTGAATATTCAATCCAATGACTCACCACCACTGCCATGAATATTGACATTTCACACAATGATGCCGCGGAGTCTCACTATGAAGGACTTGCATAACTTTAGCACAAGTCCAATCGTTACGCCCTTACGTCCAGCTTCTATGTAATACACCAGCTCAACTGGGCCGCACTTTTCGGCAATCTTGAGTTGATATGACCAAACTAGGAGGCGCCAGATTCATGATAGGATGATGGGGGTTCAGCCATTCCAGATTGGAAAGCCAGCTCTGTACAAATAGACTGTCTCACTACACGAAATAGAAACTCGGAAGAGACCCGGCTTCAGGTTCGGACTTTCGTCCGAGACACTCGTGCCCATCCTTTCTCAAGTCGATTGTCAGTTCAGGAAGCTTGGGCCTTGAGTCATTATCTTCGTGTTCGAATCTCGGGGGAAGAGTACTTGTTAAGGGTGTATCGTGGATTCGTTGTGGTTGCAATATCGTCTGAGGGGTAGCTTCGAGTATGTGATCAGACGCGGGAAATCCGCATCGAGGGAGCGCCTATCGCTGCGCCTGATGTCAGGAAGCTGAGGAGGAGGATGAATGTGGTCAACAACGGTCGAAAGAGAAAACAAGGGACGAAGGGCTCGAAATCCAGCTTTGAAATCGATCAGTGCCCAGGTCCGAGAGAACTGTGGGGTATTAGTTGATTGTCTGGAAGGGGTTTGAATTTTTGATCTAAGTTGATCGTCTGGAGTCAGAATTACATTTGGGTTTTGGATTCCAAGGCTTGGCTCAGGAGGATGACATCTTGGCGCTGATTGGACAATCACGGATAAGGTGGCTGAGTGGTCTTGGCGTGGATGTGATGGTTTGTCAGACTGTGGATGACAGGGGAGATGCATCAATCCAACTTGGGATACTTGCTTCGCGAGTAAGTTTGGAGCAGATATCCACAGGGCAGAGACTTTACCTTCTCCGTTGTGCCACCCCGGAGCAATTTCAGTCAACTGGCGCCCAAACAGAAAGTTACTGACTAAACGTAGATACGTCCATAGAGTCTATCGGGCAGAGCAGGCAGATTACTGTTTCCCGGGATGTTGATCAGAGCTTCATCCCAGCTGGAACGAAGTCATCTCCTCTTGGAAAGGCAACCGGATTCCAAAATGGATCATGATGCAAGCTGCCTACACGCCAAAAGATGTGCCCGGTAGTGGTAACATCATCGAGTCGAAACGACCTTCTGTTTGATTAAAATTGCACGCTCCTTTGAAATGTTTAGGGCATGATGTTCGAATTCACAGCTCGTGATAGCTAAATACTTTGCAGCTATGGATCTACAAATTGCAGGGTTATTTTCAGTGCAGCCGGACTTGCACTTGGCATTGTCTTCCAAGGGTGTTTCCTAGCGGCTTCGACTTGCAAGGATTGATGGAAGGACACGGATTGGATTCTAGAGATATGCTGGTGCTACATTACCTGGCTGCCGAATACGCAGACGCGAGGGCAAACTGAGAAGACTGTAGTCATGTATCAGCAAGATCGAATGGTGCACTGGAACACAGTCATCTTTGATGCACGTAATTGCAAGAAGAGTAAGGATACAAGTAGGCTCTTGGTACATTGTAAGATCCCCGCTATTGGCTGGGAAGCCATGATCTGTGCTTGCGCGGGACTTGTTGGCTTGGTTTCAATCCTGTGTTTTGGCGCGCCGGTCATCCAGGATGTAAAGTCTCTTATTATGTCTGTCGTGCCTATGAGAGAAATGTACAAATCTGATGACCCCGATGCCCTGCCAATCATCATCAGAGGGTTCTTATAAACCGCTGCCCCAGAGACCAAGAGAAGGAAGAGGAGGCGGAGGAGGAGGAGAATAGGCAAAGGAAGGAGAGATAATGGCTGCCCTATATACCCAAAAGTGGTGAGCCACCTCAAAAGCGCTTGTGGGAAGTCTAAGCGTTAGAAAAGATACTCATGTCAACCAAGACTGTCCATCTAGCCTTCTAGTCCGCTGTTGGTAACTTCAATTCCATGCTGGCTCCTATTCGTAAGACCGGACCGGCTCCCAGGAAAGAGGCAACTATGGAAACAAGACCAATAGGGTGGATTGGCGCCCAGGACCATGTCGAAAGAATCGAACCGTTAGGCAGAGGCACGGACAGAAGCACGCAGGCTGAATCCGATGAAAGAGACCACTCCATCTGACTCTATATCCTTGACAACGCTTCCGAATATTCTGCCAATACGGGCGTGCCCATGGCAAAAGAGGCTGAGCCCCACAACACACCGCTGTGGTTTGTAGGCCCTTCGTATAGCTACCGACTGCCCTAACCACCGAAAAGGCCGACCCAAGGTCTCTGTGTTTCCGTCCTCGATTTAAAGGCAAAGAACCGGGGAAGTGAGAGGGGAGATGTGATCCGATGGGAGGGTTGCTGTCAAATTCAGGAAAGGCGGAGATGTCTCAAGTGATGAAAACGATACTCGAGGCGAATAGGAGCAGAAGAGCGTAGCCGCTTGTCCGGGGACAGTCGGCAATAAACAAGGAACAGACTGGAGATACTCAAGCATGTGATGCATGGCAAATTGGACAGAGTCTTTGTCGCAGGCCAGTGGACTTGCTGCCAGTTTTGAAGGTCGAACTGACTTCTAATCGATTTCGATAGTTTCCTCATTGATTCAGTCTCTTTGGGGGGGGGGGGCTTTTCACTGACACATTGTTTCCAATGATAGGCTGGACGGCAAGTGTCCTCGGTGAGAATACTCACCCACCTTCCCTCCGACTCTCGTAATTGGGATCCGTGTCACCCGGATCTTGCGGATGAATCCAAATGAAAATAGGAGACTCATACCGCATCGATCCGAGATGTCAATGTTAGATTTAGACAACCTTGTACACTGAAACATCTTGGTCAGTATGGAGTGAGATACGGATAGATGTGGCTGGAAATGATCACCGAATCCCAATGGACATGTTGAGATACGCGTCAAAGCTCACGCTGCTGGCTCTACATTGGTCCAACAGTCGGTGTAACTAGGTTTTAATAGCAAGAACGATGCGGTGAAACGAACGACTCGCAGAGCGATTCAATCATCGCCATATAATACCCGAACTGAATCAGGGGGGGGGGGGCGCAACATCCCAGGCGGTCCTTGCAATGTAGATAACAGGGCTCCTCCCGAGGGGGATGCTGGAATACTGATATAAATCGTCGTGTCCGCATGTTGCGTTGGTCTGCTTGAAGCTCCCGGTATACTATTCTCTTGACATGCTAACCTACAGCGATCGAGGTGACGCAAGTTCCCCATGCCACACGGGCACTCGGAGGCATCGGTACAGTCGAGGCAATCAAGGCCAAACTCTTGTAGGGATGTGCTCGCCTTCCCGGGATTTGGAGGATCCAAGATGAGCATTCAATTGTTGTTGAACTATGCTCTAGCCGAAAGATACATCCGAAAGTGGATAGACATTCATTATCCCTAGGTCCACGAAGAGGATCGTCCAAGCCCCTCGCGGACTTGGCACTCAGAGATGTTAGTAAAAGCTACCCCTTGAATGCTTCAGTGATTTAAAAAAATCCGAAATAGACGATTTCCGGTACAGCAAGGAGAAAAAAGAGCCAAGGCACCTTATCCCGTGTGACGCAACTGGCGACAGCGTTATTTCCTGTCAAATGAAAAGGATCCCGCTTTGGAGGAAACCAGTGGAAAGGAAAAATGCCTCAGGTTTATCTAAAATGGCGCATGCGGGGCTGTGAGAACCGGCCTTCGCGTCTATTCCGTACTGACAGCGGAGATAGGAGCTTGATTGTTTTTTATTTCGTTTTTTTTCCCCGGGGGGGTTTTTTTTGGCGAAGAGGGAAAAGACAGAGAAAGACAATTGAAGGGAGTCTATCATATCGAAGCACGCACTTCACTGAGCAAAGATGAAACAATCCCACGATTGAAAAATCCCCTCAAACAGCACAGCCACCTCCAGATGGAGACCCTGGCCTTTTAGCGTGATATCTACGATTCCACCAGCCGCACGGTGGAACAGTCTCGATTGCCGTGCAAATTTTTGGAACCCTGAAATTTTTCTTCAATTTAAGAACTATATTAAAAAAAAAAAGTTATGAGGCATTTCTCCCAGATGGCGTAGTATTTAGGAGAATTGGAAAAATTCCTGTTCGCGTGGACCCCAACTGACGAAAATCCCTCATAACACAGGGATTTCTAATCCCCGAAGGGATACGTAGCTAGAGTAGCTAGAGTAGATGGAGTAGCTAGAGCACACTTTCCAGTCATTTTTATTCTGTGATTCTCCGACAGGACAAAAGGCCCGCAGAGTAGTATGAAACTATAGCTTCAAGCCCTAGTTGAAATGCAGAAGAAAACCCCTGACAGAACCACCCAAGTACACACCCGTTGAAATACTTCGTAGTCAATCCTGTGACTGTGGTTACGTGTCGAATCATAAGGTGAATTTCCTCACGACACACCACAAGGTGATTTCCAAGTTATAGAGTAATAGAAGGGGGGGGGGGAACGGAGAATGGTCCTGTGCCATAGCTCTCTATGTCCCGAGTGACCCCTCAGTCCTACCACAGGACGATCAATAAAGACCAAAAAAAAAAAGGTATATAAGCTCGTCCCCATCCACGCACCAAAAACCTTCATCGGAACGAGTTATGCTTATCGACGGTCAAAAGTGGGCGTGTGAAGCTTGTCTACGGGGCCACCGTGTAACCAGCTGCAAACACCATGGTGAGTACTCTGAATAGCTGGATTCGCTGGATTTATCTTCCTCGTTCCCATACCTCACTACGATAAACCCCTCTCCCCTCTCCAATATCCTCCCCTTGCTCTACCCCCATGACCCTCTTAAAACTGACCATGATAAAAACCATACCTAGATCGTCCATTGATTCGGATCAAGCGCAAAGGCCGTCCTTTCGCCATATGTACAATGTGCAATGCCACACCCTGCACATCGCCCATCGAGCATGCGCGCGCAAAACGGGACGCAGAGCTCAAGTCTCCCTCAAAAGTAACGCAAACACAAAACACAGCCGAAGTCGTTCGGCAGATGGAAGAATGAGAAATTGCAAACGCCATGGTGCTGATTGGTGTTTGCTCTTTTTCTAGAAAGCCTCGAGCCACGGAAGACTCCATCCGCGGCATAATCCAACCGGTTTCCTTCCCATTGCCCCTCGTCCAAGTCCAGGTCCCGGTCCAGGTCCAGGTCCATCGGGGTCGAGCGCGGGTTCGGTGGGGAGGAAGCCTCTCTCAGCGTCTGGGACAAAGGCGAAGTCCAGGTCCGGGTCAAAGTCGGGCTGTTCGGCTTCGTCGGCGTCATCGCCCGGGAAGACTCCTGCCTACCATGATGCTGGTGGAGCAGGAGATTGGTCGGGCTCAGAGGGCTCGCTAGCTTGGATGGGGTCATCTAGACACGCTGGGTCATTCTCTGGGTCAGTTGTGCCCGGGTTGGACTTGAGCCAGACACTCAGCACAGAGCAGGGTGGCTCCCTCTCACGTTCCGCACCGGGCTCGCTGTATGAGTATCCCGTTGCCTCGGAGGCCGAGACCACGGCGGCTGCTATGTTTGATCCGGCATATTCTCTCCAGCCTTCTTCGCTGGCTGTTTCGGGCGCCCAGATTGCGCCGACATTGCCCATGGCTAGTCCGCTCGAAGGGGTGAACCCCTTTGATTTCTCGCTGGACCCTGCGCTGGAATTGAGTGATAGCACATTGGAGTATCTGGCCGACGTCGACCTAAACATGGATTTGGAGATGCCGGCGATGGAGGAAGTGTTTCAGGTGGAGGATTGGTCCCGATATATGTGGTCGGCTGAGAGAGGGTTCGAGCATCTAGATACCGGATTTCCGCCTGTCTCGCAATAACAAGAGGAGAGCGGCCAGCGAAACTGGTCAATTACTCGCATGATGGTTGATGATAACGATGGAATTTCTTTCGGGACGACGTACAGGCAAAATGGAAGAGCGGAACCACAGGCTCGGTGCTGTTTGTGATATATCTTGGTGCATCTGCACCACGGCTTACAATTGGTACAGCTCTAACTCTCATGAGGATTCAATGGAAACAACGTGTCCAATGCTCTATCCAAGACTCTGAATGAATGCCAAGCACGAATGCCCCCAATGCTCCTGGCTGATGTAAAATAATGACGACAACGGCACTGACGACGCCGACTATACAGGAGAATGAACAAAAATCAACACAAAGCTGGCCGGGATCTTCGAAGGACACACAAACAGACAAAGAGTCAACGGTCCAGAACACTGTACGAAGGCCAGGCGGTATAGCCTAGATGCCCCCCGGCCTACACCTCCTGGATGTAGTTCGCCGGAACGCTCTTCGTGACACCACCCCGTTCGACGTCGGCCCACCCATCACCACTGTCCCGGTTGATTAGGACAAATCGGTCTCCCTCTGCCATATTCCACTCCATATCGCTGCGGGCTTCGTACTCGTACAATGCCTCGACATACTGTAATTTCTTGGCTCCTCGTCTAGGTGCGACAGCTGGTCCGACACGTTTCTGCGCGGCGCTTCCCGCCAGGGATGCCGATGAATTTGAGTACGTTGACCCGGGTCGCTCAGGCACACTGGGACTGGCGGATGGCACCGGAGAGGGTGTAGGGACAGCTTCGACATATGCAGCCGGGACAAGTCCTTCGTTGGCCCCCGAGCGGACACGCATCCATCCAGAACCATCTGTGCATTAGTTAGTAAATCTTGGGAGTACACGATAGGACAAGAGGACGTACCATCTGGTTGGAGGATCACCACTTCATCCCCATCTTCCACACTAACCTCATCTGAGCCGGTGGCTTGATACGCGTACAGCATCTTACCCCATGGCTCCTTGGACTTTGACCCCATGCCGGAGTCGCTCGGCGGAGGTGCAGTCATGTAGGCTGTCGGGGGTGGTGCTAGCACCCGGTTTCTCTTTGCGGCAGCTGGCTTAGTCTGTGCGACGGGAGCTGGAGGATCATCTGCTGGGCTTTCAGGCGTGTTCTGAGTAGGAACGTTGGATATCGACCGGGCCGAACTGGCCGCATATCCCGAGCTAAGAGAATTCATAGTGTTCTGTCGTCTCAGGGACGGGGCGGCAGTGGAAGCTGTAGGGGTGCCGACATCCACAACGGGCATGGCACCAGCCTGGTCTTGACGCAAGGCCTTGAGTTTCTTCTTGTCTTCCTTGGTCTGCTCGCCTGGGCACTCCGCGGGCACCTTCATTTGGCATTTACTGTGGCAGGTGTAACCACAATCCCGACAATCAAAGCCCTTGGCGGACAGGCCCCATATGCGCTCGCCACATAGATCGCAATTTGTCGGGATCTTGAATGTTTGAGAGCGGAAATTGTGGTTCTGGGCTCCCAACGACAAATCTCCAGCCACTGCCATGATAGTCGCCGTTTCTACCTCGGCTGTGACCCATTTGCGATCAACTTCATGCAGGGACTCTTGGATATAGAAAATCGACCTCACGACATCTAACTCGTTTCGATTATCTTTGCCATCTTGAACATTTTCCCGTACTTTCTTGCTTGCTTCAACCTCACGCCTCTTCTGGTCTGACTCAACTCGTAGTTCGCGGATTTGAGTTTTGCTTTTACTTAGGACGTTGCGCAAAAAGACCTTAGCGGCCTCATCAATGATAATTGAATCATCGTCGTGCCATACTGGACTTGGCTCAAATGCTAGATTTGCAGGTTCCTGCGATTGGGTCACATTGTGCTGGAGGAACATCAACGAGTCCAGACGAGGATTGTTGCGAGGAATTTCGACAAAGAGATTGGTTATGTGCTCTGTGCTATTTGAAAGAGACGCCTTTTCAAGTTGGGCGGCGAGCAACCACATCAGGTTCATTTTTGCGACTCGTGTTTCATTGAGGTTTTGTAATCCCTGGCCGGAGATGTGAGTGCCCGCATTGATCCAAGACACGGGGAGTAGTTGGTTCATCTTACATCGATCACCTCGGGGACATATTCATGGTAAAATTTCTCCTTGAGCTTATTTGTCACATTGATGCTGATGAGGTAGAGGTTCTACCCCGTAAGTTAGCACCGGGACACCAAGGGTTCAGTTAAATAAGCCATGCCTTATAGTTGTTCATCTCCAGTATTTGTTGTTGATATGCTGCTTGAGCTTTGCCCTTGCCATGATCGAAAGCGGACTCCATTTTCTTTCTGCGAGATTCAACCTCCTGGCATGCACCATCGTATTTACCTTTGGCTTTTTTGAGTTCGCCATACGCTGCATCCCGTTCCTTTTCCAGCTTTCCATGATATTCAACGTGGCATTTGCGGATCTCTTCATATTGAATGGCAGCTTGTTTCAGAGGATCCGCCACTTGCACTACCAATTCTGACGCAAACTTGTCCCGCTCGGCGGCGTGAGATTCCACGGCGTTCAATTGCGTAGTCCATGTGGTGAGTGATGCGCTTTCGAGGGAACCGGGGGTTAACGTGGGTGTATCGCCTACACTCAAGGGGCTGATCTTCTTCGACTTGCGGTCAGAATACTTCTTGCACAGGGCCGTTAACTTGGATGCGTATTCCTTCTCGATAGCACTGCGCTCGCGGTAGAATTGGTGTATCTCGTCTACCCATGATATACCATTTGATACCTGTGCAACACGTTTGCATTAGCTCCACTTCAAGCGCACAGGGTGATCTGACGGGTTGGTTGCGGGGAAAGGATGTCGGGACCATACCCAAGTGTTAACTGGTTTGAAGGAATCCTATATAAAATAATCTTATTAGTTATACATCTGGGACTATGACCATACAAGGTGTTGTATGGATACCTTTAACTCAGCACCGAATTGGGGAGCGACGTCTGCGGCCGCCATAGCTGGATTAAGATCCCAAGGCAGACGCGCATGGGACAGCGCGGGAATGGAAGGCCAAACAATGAAATGGGGTTGCCGAATATCAGCGCTGCTCTTCAATGAGCTACTTGTCTTGAAATCAATTAAATAAATCGATATCTCCAACTAGGCAGTGTTCAATGGGCTACTGAGGCCATTCAGACAGGAAGAGTGAGCTCAATGGCCAAGGCGGGGAGAAGACTGGTCCCTGTGACAGTACCAAACACACACGTTGCTGGGAATTAGTATTTTGCCTGCCCTCCTGTGACAATACCATTACCTTTTTTTTCACTTTGACTCAATTCGGACTAGTTCTCTATCCCTCCAGCGTCATCTGTTTTTGCTCTTCCGTTCAGAGGGCTATTGTTCTCTTTGGCTATTGTTCTTCTCTCCTTGGTGCTTGGATTTCTGATTTCCTCCATTCTACCTGAGTACCAACCGAAGCCGTTCTCAGTTGACGCCATATCTACTCAATCGCGCACTCGGCCATTTGATTTCATTTCGAACTTTTCTTTACCCCACGACCACCCCTCCACCCTTCCTTCTCCAACTCTTTCTGGGTTTTAAAGATACCCACCAGACTTTCGTGCAATGTCTGATAGTCAAGAGACCACTGCTGCGGGCTCCTTGGCTGACCGTATCACCAAACCTGATGAGTCGAAGCCAACCGGTACGAAACGAGACCACGCCACCGTCGCTGATTCCTCCAGTCCACACGACCGGAAAACACGCAATACCCCGGTTGTTAGCTAACGTGTTTTCTTTGATTTCCCAGATACCTCCAATGTCTCCACCACTCCTAAGGAGGACGGAGCCTCTGCCCCCGCGCAGGGCTCGGCAGAGCTCGAAGAGCCCGACTACACTGTCGCTGTGAAATTAAGTGATTTACAAGCGGATCCAAACAACCCCCTGTACTCAGTCAAGAGCTTTGAAGATCTGGGCCTGTAAGTGCTAATTATTGATACGCCGTTGGAAAAAATGTCTCGCAACTAACTTGATTGACAATCCAGTGACGCGCGCATTCTGAAAGGTCTCTCGACCATGAATTTCCGCAAGCCGTCCAAGGTCCAAGAGCGCGCTCTTCCCCTTTTGATGAGCAATCCCCCGAAGAATTTGGTTGGTCAGTCGCAGTCCGGTACCGGCAAAACTGCGGCCTTCGTCCTCAATGTCCTCAGTCGTCTCGACCTCTCAACGGAGCAGTTGCAGATGACGCCTCAAGCTCTGATCCTCGCTCCTACCCGCGAATTGGCTCGCCAGATTGTCGGCGTTATCCAGATTATGGGTCAGTTCCTTGAAGGTCTCGTCATCGGCACTGCTGTTCCTGCCGATTCCAATGCTCGCCCATCGAAGATGGATTGCTCGGTTGTGGTTGGCACACCTGGAACTGTTCAGGATATGATTAAGAAGCGTATTATGAACCCTACTGGATTGAAGGTGCTTGTTCTAGATGAGGCGGATAACATGCTTGACCAGCAAGGCCTGGGAGACCAATGTATTCGGGCCAAGGCGTAAGTACTTTGAAATTCCTGGCACTCAAAGCTTTCAGCTAATTGTTCCTCTGGGTAGGATGATTCCTCGGAATGTTCAAATCGTCCTGTTTTCCGCAACCTTCCCCGCTCACGTCTACCGCTATGCGGGCAAGTTTGCCCCTGCTGCAAACGAGATTACACTCCAACACGAAGAGTTGACTGTTGAGGGCATCAAACAACTCTACATGGATTGCAGCACTGACGAGGAGAAATATCAAAACCTCGTCCAGCTCTATGGGCTGCTCACTGTCGGATCCTCAATCATTTTCGTCCGAGTAAGTATCCTCTCGGATTAACATTGGACTATTGCTGATCCCCGTATAGACCCGTGCCTCTGCCGTTGAGATTGAGAAGCGGATGGTTGCCGAGGGCCACACTGTCGCCTCGCTGACTGGTGGCGTCGAGGGATCTCAGCGTGACGCGGTGATTGATTCCTTCCGCAGCGGCGAAGCCAAGGTTCTGATCACGACCAACGTTCTTGCTCGTGGGATCGATGTATCTACAGTCTCCTTGGTCGTAAACTACGTGAGTTGATTATTCACCCGCCTTCACGTTCAGGACTAAACCTTCTGCCCTTCAGGACATCCCCGAGGAATATTCTTCTGGTCAGCGCACCAACACACCCGACTACCAGACCTATTTGCATCGCATTGGTCGTACTGGTCGTTTTGGTCGTATTGGCGTTGCAATCTCATTTGTTTCCAACCGAAATGAGTGGGAAATGCTTCGCAAGATCCAAGAGCACTTCCAGTGCATCATCGACCGCATTGATACCAGCGACTGGGATGAAGTGGAGGATATGATCAAGAAAACGATCAAGAATACCCGAGCTCAGGCCGACTTTGTCCGGAGCAATTAAATGCACAAAAAGTCAGTGTCGATGTCGAACAAGATCCAATGATCCCTTCACTCAATCCCGATTTTCAGAATTGAACGAATTATTTCACGTTCCATGCTTCGAAGAGTGACGAAATCTCTTCTCTTTTTTGCGGGTCAGGGGGGCGAGGGGAAATTAGATACCTATTTGCGCGCATGGCTGCCCCTGCAGCCCGTCTCACCTCTCTGGTCTGCACATGCCAGATATGCTGAAAGAGGCGGCTGGCTTCAACTCGAAGTAGTCAGTTGCTCTTCAAAAACACACCAATTTTTTTCCAACCCGTTTGTAGATTGTCTTTTTCATGTCACTATGAACTTTTCTCGTGGGTTGTTCTTTCGGCACCTGTTAATCTTCTATCCATTCAGATTCTCTCGCATCTTCCTCATCTTGCCATGGAGCCATTTCATGCTCCGTCCATGCATTTACCTAAAGTAGAGAGCGAAACTAAAGAATTGCTGCCCCCAACCCCGGTTAGTCCTCACACATACCGTCAATGCATGCCGCACTGCTGGCTCTTCCTGGCTCACCTGATGCACAACTCTTTGCCATAACCATCTTGATATACCCCGCGAGCTCGCGCGACGTATACCACCGGAAGGAATCGAGGTTTCGCGGCTCTCTGAGCGTGAGGCTGACCTGGCTTGTGTCGACTAGTCGGTGAAGCGATTCTTCTACATGGAGAGGCTGAGGTTGAGAGCAGAGAGGATAGTAGGGCGTTGCTTGCTTTGCGGGGGGCTTGAGGGCGTCACTAGTCGGATAAAAAGTTCAAAGAAATCCACGATACGCTCCTTGGGGGCGACTTGATGAACCTCCCCCGATGTGACATGCCTGGACGCGTCTGTGCCGCAAGTGGAGCAACTGGGAAGTCCCACATTCTGTCTGTTGAAAGTTCAAGTTGATTTTTCATAATTAATATACCTTTGGATCTTTTCAACGCTAAACTATAATTGATTTCATGCATACACCAAGACTCCTACGGAATCGAGATTAGCGGCGTCAATGTAGTCTGACGCCTCTGTGATTTGGGCAAGATCGCATGGTTTGGATTGGTCGGGAAAGCCGACTACTAAATACTATGGAATAGGTACGGTGGAATAATCTAACTATACGTGATAGAATGGTCCTAAAAACTTAAACTTGGTATCTATAAAAGTGAATATTTAAATTTCAACATACAACATGCAGTGGAAAAATTCCCGGATCTCAGATTTGAGATCTGGCCTCTGATTGGTCAAGAAAGCATCGGTCACATGACTAGAGTGGGTTTAGCAATGTGATTACATTGCCATTGATAGACTACGACCAGATGGCGCTCTTGGATTCTGATTGGTTTGGCTACAGGAGGACATCGACGAGCTTGTTGAATTGTCCACATCGCCCGTCTAAGGGCACTAACCGGCCCCTGAAATTTTTTTTTCAAAAAATACGGACCCCCGCAAGCGAGGGTCCGCCACCAATTCGTAGGGGATCACCCAAACGTCGGTTTTTTCATATGTTGTATACAAATAATACCGGTTATTAGTAGTGAGGGTAAGGTAGAGAGTAGTGTTACGGACCTACCCGTCACCAATCAATGGTGCCCCACCGGGTACACAGATGGGCCACCAAGAGCCAATAGATCTTTCTGTCAGCAGATCACGTGCAACACTGTATACACTGGCGTTCCCAGGTATCGAAGGAAAAGGAAGTCCTTACTAGTCACTAAAGTTAGATTGTCCCTTTAGTTTTAGGATAGAGGCCGAGATATTAATCTCGTTTAGACTAAGAATATAGTCCTCGATCTCGTAGGTTTATTCTATCGGTATCGTGAGGATAACGAGGGAGAGATTAGACTTCCGCAAAGCTCGAAAAGCTCCAAAAGCCCGAAACCCGACTCGACCCTCAAAAGGGTCGGGTTTCGAACTTTTGGAGCTTTGCGGAAGTCTAGGAGAGATCGGCGACGACGAGGTTAGACCCACCGTTCGATACATGGTATCCTGGGGGTTTCGTCGGCGTAACTGGACGGCGACGATGAGGTTGGACCCACCGTTCGATAGATGGTATCTAAGAAGGTTAGACAAGGTGTAAGTCTCGTCAAATTGGATTAGTGAAAACTTCTGATTTATGGGGTCAAAAATCTCCACCGTGGTGCGACGTAGGCACCAAAAAAATGGGGTAACCAGGGTTTCGAGGGTTGCGTTATATAATAGCCTCGAAAGTAACGGCGCTTATAACCAGATAGAGATGTATCATAGTTTCTACTATGAAGTGTAGATATAACTGGAAAATCTCTGTTGTGCGTGAAGAGAGAGAGAAACTATCTACAAGATGGGAAACTAAGTACTAGGAGCATGTGGTAGCATGTGAATATTCACATGCTTCCAACAGTTAGCTATAGAGAATTCAGAGTATTTTATGCCTATCTTTTAGTCGTCTTATACATTGTTGAAACTGTAGATTTGTGTCAGCGATTATCAAGTTTCTTATCTGGCAGAAACGGTATTGTCAGATTTGGCCCAAATGGGCTGCCGTACAGCATGTCCATCCTCCCCGAAGACTGCCAACAGTTTCACCAAGCGAATGCTGGAGTCTCTCCTTTGCAGGTCACCCCCTAATTTTTTCCCTCAAGTACCGGGCCCTGTGGCACACAGCGACCCAAAACAACCTTGCAGAAAATTGGTCCAAACTATTATCATGATGAGAACGCGTCGGCTCCTTAGAGAAGAAATCACTTATTCCCTCGCCAAGGAACGGGAGGTAAACATCCTTCATCAGCTAGGATATTTCGATCAGCAGTGCCACTTCTTCTCCCACCTCTATGCTAGAAGAGAATGGATGAAAGCTATCATAGCTCATCATTTAGGTTTCAGATCTACCGATATGTGCCATATTGCAAAAATGGATGATTGGTTCCGTGGCAGCTTCAACGTTTGCGTTCCTGTTACCATTGAGAACTGGAAGGAACGACAGCAGCCGGGACTTCGTGTTATCCTCCGATTTCCTCTCCCATATCGCGTCGGGGAGGGCTTTCGGCCTGGGAACGGGGATGAAAAGATCCGGTGCGAAGCTGGTGCTTATGCATGGCTCCAACAGAATTGTCCAGATGTTCCGATTGCACGACTATACGGGTTTGCTATGTCAACAGGTGAAACTGTACGAAACAAAATGTTCTTGCTAAAAACACAACGACTAATCCTCACAACGTAGTTTACACGAATTGAACACCTACCTTTCCTTAGCCGTTGTTTCCAGTCCCTGCGCCGTCGGTTACTACAATGGCTTCGTTTGCCAGTCCCGTCGTACTACGTTCGCCGTTCAAATACAATCAATACCTGTCTAGATGGTGTGAGCGAAGCCGGATACTTGTTGATAGAGTTCATCGAGGAAACACAAGGGACAATGCTTTCGAACACCTGGACCGAAAAACAACACGATGTCCAGTTGCGGAAGAATTTCTTCAGAAGTCTTTCTCACATCCTGTTGAGTATCAGCAGAACGCCCTTACCTCGCATTGGATCCTTCGTCATCGACAAGGAAGGTTATTTAACATTGAGCAACCGCCCGCTTTCAATGGAGCTGCAAGAGTTGGAAAATGAGAAGATTCCAACTGGATTGTGCCGTGACTATACTTATTCCACTGTTGAGTCTTACATCACGGACATCTTAGGGGTCCATGACAGCCGCCTACGAAATCAGCCTAATGCTGTGAATAATGTTCAAGATTGCGGCTATCAAATGTCAGCACTGGCAGCAATGCGGACAATAGCGCCATTATTTTTTTCTCGGGCCTTTCATCGTGGGCCATTTGTTTTTACCTTGACAGATCTCCATCAGAGCAACATATTCGTTGATAATGAGTGGCGTATAACTTGCTTGGTCGATCTCGAATGGGCTTGCACCCGGCCGATTCAAATGGTTGAACCTCCTTACTGGTTGACTAATGAGGGGGTGGACGAGATCGATGTCGGGGAATATAACAAACTTCGGAAGGAATTGTTAACTATCATGAAGGTTGAAGAGACAGAAAAATCCCACAATTTCCATTCAAAAGATGCCGGGGAAACACCGCTACGACTATCAGAGGTTATGGACCAGGCATGGACGACAGGGACGTTTTGGTATTCCCTGGCACTCTCCAGTCCCACGGGTCTTTTCAGTTTGTTCTACGATCACATCCAGCCCTTGTTGTCCACAAAAGGCTCGGATGAGATTGGTGAAATCATGCCCTTTTACTGGGGGAAAGATGTGGGAAAATTTGTGGCGACCAAGCTTGATGATAAGAAGCAATATGACCGTGAGCTTCGACAAGCTTTCGCAGTAAGCGGCTCTGAAGGTGATCTTTCTGATCACACTTGATCTGGACACTTGAACAACAAAGGACTTCGATTGAACAAAGCTCGTCTCAGTGACTGTACAGCTGAGGGAAATTTTCTACTCTCTCCTTATTCATATGAGGGCAATCTTTTTGAGTCTTGATGCTTCTACCCCGCAATCCCTTATTGGCCTGGTTTGTCTCGTGGTTCACCTTTATCCCCTTGCTCAAGGTGTCTTTCAAATGCTTCATCCAGTGCACGGAAACCCTTCTGAGCGTGGTTTGCTTCTCTCTTCCGTTGCGCAGCTCTCCCCGAGGAGCTGATCTGTTGAAGAGATTTGACATCCGCCTTTACTCCCACAATAGCTTCTTCGATTTTGGGTTTGCCAGCTTCACGTTTGTCGGGCATCGTGAAAACTAAACGAACCAAATGGTCAGAACTACTCTGATTTCTAATATTCTTGCTGGCACTCTACCAGACAGGATGTGGAGGACATGAAATAACGAGTAGTTGAAGCTGAAGTTGTTCTTGTGAAGATAATCGGACACTTTGAACTTGCGAAGCGCTAGACTGCCTGAATAAGAAGTCGTTGATGGTTGATGCTTTCTACCAGGCTTTAATACAACAATTGCAGTCCAAAAGCCGAGTTCATGTCGACCCCTCATTTGCAGCATCATTTGGCGTAAACTGAATTTAGCGACGAACATTGAGAAGTAGCGAATCATACCGATCGGTGCGCAATCTTGCATTTGAGGTGCATAATTGTGGGTAGCGAAGGTCAAAGCCTGAGATTGACCAGTGAGATCAAATCGACACAAGTTCAAGCAGTAATGCCGATAAAATTTTGATGGTAGAGCTATTTACAAAGGCCAGGTAATCTAGAAAATGAAAAAACAAGATTCCTATTGATATTTGTTAGGATCTACGATCTAGTAGATGAGATTATAAAGGCACAATGTAATGTGTTGGTACAGAAATCTACAGTTTCAACAATGTATGGGACGATTAATAGATAGGCATAAAATACCTTGAAATCTCTATAGCTAACTAAAAAAACAAAATCCGCTTCTTTCTTATTTGTGCGGACAACGCTTAAGTATAATATGCAATTTGCATAGATCGCGCCAATATAGCGGTCCATAGATTTTTCCGGGCATTCTCCTTATCTTCAACTGTATGTCGTGCCATTGTTTTCGACAAAATCTATTGGTCGTCCCATACATCGTTGAAGCCATAGATTTCTGTCACCATGTACTGTACCATTGGTTTTGATAGAAGACAGAAAAGTGATCCATTACCTGGGGAAATGCGGGTCTGCTGAGTATTCCATAGTGCTTCCCAAGGCATGTACAATCTAGGGAGTTTCAGTTTTTCCTACTTCGGCCAGTCAAATGAACGCGGAATAATTGCAGTGGAAACCAGTGGAGACATCTGTAGAAGCCGGGAAAAAGCTCAAATGTATACCTGATCATTAAAAGCCAAACTAATTCAACACATCCTTTGATTGTAGCCTGTGGATAAGCCCTCAGATAACGTGAGGAGACAAGTCACATGGTGACGTTGTACTTCACTCTCTTTCCCCCTTCCTTTCCCCTCTTCTTTTGTTTACTCTCTTCAAATTGTCGCTTCATCGTTCTGGGGCCTCCATTCTCCAATTAATCATGTTAAACACAGAAACAGTTGTCACCGTCTTGCCCGTCCCAATGGAATCATCTCCAAAAACTCTCCCCACCGACCCTAATCCCCGATACAGCAACCACATCATCGTAAGAAAATCCAGATCTACTCTGACTTCAAAGTTAGTAAGATGCTGATATAAAGCATAGTTGACCACTTACCCCGGCCAGAGCGGCATTGAACCCGTGCCCCTCGAGTGGGGCGCTCCCGACGCCAAATCCCGGGGTCCGGTAGTTGTATCCCGCAGCGGGAACCTCGTCAAGCGCCGCAATGCTATCGGCGCCCACGGCGGCAGTTACAGCATTTACAATGCCCTTGCCATTGCCGCTGGAGATTTAGATGCGGATTTCCGACCGGACTTTCGTAACTCTGAGCCGACTTTCAATTTCCCCCCGCAACCTGCCTGGGCGGATAAGAAAAAGATCGTCTCTCTAGATCCTTACGGTCATGACATTGTCAAGCAGTTCAAGGCAGAACTGGAGGCTGGCTGGGATATCCGTCCAACTATGGCGGTCACTCGGGCGAACATGAAACTCGCGGAGATTGCCGATGATGTGAAGAATGGCCTGCTCGAGGTGGACGGGTCTATCCTTGTTGACTCATCCGGCGAGGTTCGGGTCACTAAGGTAGCAGCCGAGCCTGTCTGGTATCTTCCCGGGGTGGCAGAACGATTCGGGGTTGATGAAGGCACTCTTCGTCGAACTTTGTTCGAGCATACCGGTGGGAGCTACCCCGAGCTAATCACTCGGCCTGATCTGAAAACCTTCCTGCCACCAATCGGAGGCCTTACCGTGTACATCTTCGGCCCACCAGAGCGAATTGCGGACGAGAATGTCAAGCTAGCTCTGCGTGTGCACGATGAGTGTAATGGCAGTGATGTCTTCCAGTCAGATATCTGTACCTGCCGACCGTACTTGGCATTCGGTATTCGTGAAGCAATCCGAGAGGCTCAGAACGGCGGCAGTGGTGTGGTCATCTACTTCCGCAAGGAAGGTCGAGCTCTTGGAGAAGTGATAAAGTATCTTGTATACAATGCGCGCAAGCGCGGAGGTGATACCGCTGATAAGTACTTCACTCGCACGGAGAACATAGCCGGTGTCCGCGACGTAAGGACCCTCAGCATCTATTTGATTCGCATATACTGATTTTGCCCACTGCAGATGCGGTTCCAAGCTCTTATGCCCGACATTCTGCATTGGCTCGGCATCACGAAGATCGATCGCATGCTGTCAATGTCGAACATGAAGCACGACGCCATCGTGGACTCCGGCATTCAGATCATCGAGCGCATTCCTATTCCCGACGAGATGATCCCTAGTGATTCAAGAGTCGAGATTGATGCCAAGATTCAATCAGGATACTTCACTACGGGTAAGCAGCTGACGAATGAAGATCTTGCCCAAGTCCGTGGACGCGGCTGGGAGAAATGGGAAGACATCTCCGTAAGCAAAATTGCCTCCTTAGACACACGGTAGACTCGCGTGGCTGATCGTCCTTGCAGCACTAAATTTCGGCTTTTTGCTTCGTTGTCGAGATCGGAAAGAAAACTCGTCAATTTCGGTAGTCTTTTTTGGCTAGAAGTTGGGTCAGTGTGGTGTGCGTATCAACGTGTGTTACCGTAGAGCGCTTTGTCGCGAGTTCTTAAAGCACAGTTTAGTATTTATGAGATCATTCAAGAAATTGAGATTGTTCGACTTGAATAGCAGTTTCATTGTCACAGTTTGAGTGAGATGAGTCGCAGTAGCAGTAGAAAATCACAAGGTACTCACTCGCTTTAAAGCGTTGGGGGAGCTTTCCACCATTTAAATGGGCTTATCTGGCATGGCACCTTGGTAGCCTGATCGTCGGCCCGGATGCCGGTACGGATGTCTTTCCACTATCCAGCCACGTCTTTCGGGTGAGACTGCTACAACTCACACTAGACTCCTCTGATAGGCTTGCACCACCCATGCAAGAAGATCCTTGCGAAGTCTAGACACTAAAATGTCAAATCTTGGCCGAAAATCGCACGATTGGAAGTAAATGGATCTTCAAGGATCTAGAGGATCACGACACAAGATTGGTGTGGTCTGAAGCAAATTATAGAAAACTTTGTTTAGAAGGCTTGCGAGAAAGTGGTAGCAAGAGCCTAGTGCTTCTGGTAATGTCAACAATTAACGCGAAACAACACCCGCTTCAAGATCCACACTGGATGTTTGGAGAACCGTTGATCCGTTC